CCGCCGCCCCTGCGGGTTGCGTGAAGCCTCGGAGCGGGGAGGCTGCGCCTTTCCCAGGGGCTGCGTGTCCGGGAGGCAGAGGCTGGGGCTAAGGAGGTTGCCAGACTGTAAGAGAGCGCTGGTGCCAGAGGAAGGTACTTTGAGAGACAATACGCGTTTCCCCTGCGTATTTGTAAGGGAGCCTCTTTTGTGAGGGCTGTGGTCCTCAGTTTTCCCACTTCCTGAAGTTGTTTACCTTCACACTTCTTACTCTCCTGGAGTTTTGAAACAAAATTCGAGACTTCGGAGCCCCCCATCTACCTGCACGTTGGAATGAAAGTATAACGGTGTGTGGTGGTTATGTTTGTGTGTCAACTTGGCTGGGCCTGGTTGAGTAGCTGGGCAGCTGGTGGTAGTTATTCCCCATGATGAGACTGGCAATCAGCTCCATGGTGGGATCTACCACAAGCAGCTGAGTAGCCTTTGGGATGTGGTCTGCTTCCCTTATATAAGAAGCAGCTTTAGGAATGGTCTCTAGCTTATGGTGCTTGAAGTCGTCCTAGCCGAGTGGCTGTTCAGCAGCCTGCCATGCTCTGCCGACCTGGGGACTTAAAATGGACTTTAATAATGGCCTCCCGTGTGATTTGGTAACATCGGGACTGTGCCTTTGTACTTGGCAACCTTGGGTTTGTCAGCCTTAGCAGCCAGCAGCTGTCTGAGTGAAGAAACACCTCTAGCTCCAGTGGGCTGGGAACAAGAGGCAGAGCTGCAGCCCAAGGTCCAGGGACTTTCACCCAGCCCTTAGAGCCTGGCACTTTGAACTTGGACTTAAAGCCTCCAAACTGTGAGAGAATAAACTGGTGTTTGTTAAGGCCATCCCATTCGTGGTATATTCTTGTCATAGTGGCACTAGGTAACCAGAACACAGTGGAAAACTGAATCAGTTTTGCCTGGAGCAAGCTCATTACTGGCATGCAAGAGGCATTCTGCCTGTTCCACCTTTATCTGCACTTTGTTTAATACTAAATACATGACCTCTGATATTTACAACAACCATTACAAATTAGGCACGTTAACCTTATTTTCCAGAGAGGGAAACTAATATTCGGAGAAATTAAATACCTGCCTAATGGAGCTCTGTTAGCGCAGTGCCTAAGGCACCTGACTGCTAACCAGAAGGCTGGCGGTTCAAACCCACCAGCCACTCCTGGGAGGGAAGATTGGGCAATCTACTTCCGTAGTGATACTGCCTTGGAAACCCAAGGAAGGGTTGCTATGAGTCCGGTCCGACTCCATGACACACAACAACAACAAACTAGGCTTTGGATCTGTAGGAGCTTGAGGTGGGGGGCAGGAGAGGATAAGGAGTGGGGGGGATGGTTTTCCCTGGACCCGATTTTTTGTATTTTACCTGAAGCACATGATGAAGTTTGCTGGAAGTGCTAGCTGAGTAGCTCAGATGATAGATGCTTTCCAAAAGTGTGTGTGTGGGGGGGGGGGGGGGGTGAAGAGCGGACCACGGATATCAGTCTCTACAAGGAGGTGAAAAACTGGTTCTTGGGGATGGAAAAAGTTTGAGATATTACTATGATTTGTATCTCTCCAAAACTCAACCCTTCCTGACAAAATCTTACTTCTTAGTATTTCATTTCATTTCCTTTGTGTTTTCTTGGGCATCACGAACATAAGCAGCGTTGACATTGATGAATTCCTGGAGTATACACAAAATATATGCAAGATCAATGCTACCAGATTATGGCCATGATCGGTGGGCTCTCCATCGATTGGAAATCATCTATAGAGGTGGACTGGGCCAGCCTCTTGGTTGCCATTGGCTGCCTGTGGATGTTATTTATGTTTGAACCTCAGGGCTTTTGTGTTAGTTTGCACTTTAAGAATTAAGTAAAAATAGTTTATACTTTACTATTTAATTCTACAAAAGTTATTCAGTAATCATTAATTATGTCAAGTACTGAAAAGGAAAAATGTTGACAATATCTGATGACTGTTTCACCAGGGCTCTCTAACAGAGAGTTAAGTTAAAATTATTTTCTGATATTAAGCAAAAGTTACAAGTTAAGATCATTAAAAATAATTTTTAAAAAATTCATTTAATTTTTTGACACTTTAAATTTTGCTGGAAAACAAAACAATTTGAGGATTTTTTCAAAAATTTGATTACATTGCTATTATTGTTATATAAATTGCTAGTTTATATATGTAATTTAACACTTTAAAATTTACATAAAATAAATTACATTAAGATACAAAGTTAACTATTAATAGCTTTTAACTTTTATCTTTTAACCTACTTTTTAAATTTAGCCAATCTTAAAGATGCATTTAATAAAAATAAGCTTTATACATATTCCTTTATTGTATAAAGCACTGATATACATACAGTACATAAACAGATACACAGTATGTCTGTGGTATTAAGATTTCATGGGGAGGGATTAGGAGAAAAAATTGCCTAAAAAAGTCTCCTTGTATGTAGGGGCAATGATGAAAACAAGGTTAAGTGAATATGTCTGGATGGGCCAACTACCAAGGTAAAAAAAAAAAATTGCCTTCCTTAACCTCTTTGTAGGTTTATACTTCTTTTTTTTTCCACTAAAAAAAAAAAAAAAAAAAAAAAAAAGATAACACTCACATAATATAAAATTTAAAAAGTACAAAGGACATACAATGAAAAGTAAAGCATTCTTCCACCCTTGTTCTTAGCAACCCAGTATGTCTTTCTGGAGGTTACAGTTATTTCCTCCCTCTTGTGATCCTCGTAGGTACCTGGGTGGTACAAATGGTTTGAATCAGCTGCTAATGTAATGATCAGCAGTTCAAACCCACCCAGTGTCACCTGGGAAGAAAGACCTGGCAATAAAACCTTATGGACTAGTTCTACTCTGTTAACACATGGGGTCACCATGAGTTGGAATCCACTCAGTGGCAATGGGTTTGATTTGGTTTTGGGTATCCTAGAGAAATCTTCTTAATTTCCAAGCATACATTTAACATGTTGAAATTTGTGGGTGACTGTTAATTTTTAGATATTATACATAAATCCAGAAAATGCCCTGATACAATCCAGGGTAAGGAAACAGTTTTAACAGCAGCACATGTGAGCACAATTTAAGGTTTAGTTGACAGTAACCTCAGTGTGAGTCAACGCTGAAGTGGCTGAAAAGATTATGCAAGCCTGGGCTGTGTCTGTGGCATTTAGTGTCTGAAGTAACAACTGCAAGCAACAGATGTCTTCTAAACACTTGCTTGTATGTACTGGGCGCTGGAGACACAGCAGTGACCAAGCCAGCCGTGGTCTAGGCCCTCACATAGCTTACCTTCTGGGAAGACAAAGGAAGCAATTTAGTCATCTCACTGCCCTGCATTGTCCAGACCCCACGGAATCCCGGGTCCTACTCTGGCCAGTTCCCTTATTACAAACACTGACCACCTAGGGCTTGTACAGAGGGATGTGAGCAGAACAGTGAGGAAATCTGACGCCATGTCATGTGAGGAAAGGTAGCAGAAATTTGAGCTTTATTTAACCTGAGAGAAGCAAGAGATGAGAGGATTTAGGGAGGACTTCACAGCTGTCTTCAAATACATGAGAGATTGTCATGGGAAGAGAGGTTTGATTTATTCTTTTTGATTCCAGAAATCAAAACTGCTGCTTTTGGCTGCTTGTTGGTAGACGTTAAAGGCCAAGAGTCTGGACATGAAAAATAGCATATTGGTAACTGTTAAGAATGTGGTTTGTGTTCACACTCTCTCTTATTAGGTAGGAGATATTTCCTTAGGGTATTTAAATGTTTAAGTTCCGCATATGATGTCTTCATATTTAATGATTTTTTTTTTAAAAGCACCCCCCCATCTTTGATTTATGGTAATAGACTGTAGTATATTTTTTCCCCACTCCTTTCTCCACAGAATGGGAGCTGACTGATATGGTGGTGTGGGTGACTGGAGCATCAAGTGGAATTGGTGAGGAGTTAGCTTACCAGCTGTCTAAATTAGGAGTTTCTCTTGTGCTATCAGCCAGAAGAGTGGACGAGTTAGAAAGGGTGAAAAGAAAATGCCTTGGTAAGTGAATCTAACATAACAGCAATGCTTCCTAGAAATAAATCCTAAGTAACCAGACTCCAAACTTAAATATAATTTTGGGAATTTGAGGGGTAAGAGTAGGATTTTCCTGGGTAGAACTTCTCAGCTCTTAAAATTCCAAGTGCTTTGACCTAAACCCTCTTTCTTTTGCTATCTCTTAATTAGCTGCCCTTTCCTTTTTCTTGTTTCTGCTGCCTCTTTATCTTGGTGCACTGACCCTTGGCATTGGGGAATGACCACCAATTCTCTCCAATGTGGGTGGGTTTTTAGTGGTCAGGTGACTCACATTCTTGCCTAAGAGAAGCAACAGTCTGGTTCTTAGACACGGCATATACCTTGGTCATCTAGGGCTGCTGTAATAGAAATACCACAGGGGGATGGCTTTAACAACTAGTTAACAGTTTAGGAGGCTTGAAGTCAAAATTCAGGTGCCACTTCCAGGGGAAGACTTTCTCTCTGTGTTGATTCTAGGGGAAGGTCTTCGTCTCCTTTCAACACCTGTGACTCTGACATTCTTTGAAGATGTCCATATGTTTTGGCATCAATTTCCCCTCAGTCAAGGAGATTCTCAGCACAGGGACTCTGGATCCAAAGGCCATGCTCCATTCTGGGCTCTTCTTTCTTGGCGGTAGTCAGGTCCTGCCTTCTCTACTCTATTCTCTGTCCTTTTGTCTCAGTAAGGTGAAAGGTGATACAGGTGACACCCCAGGAAAACTCCCTTACATCAGGTTAGGGTTGTGACCTGAGTAAAAGTATTACATACCACCCTAATCCCCTTACAACTGATTGGCTGATCATATTAGATCACATCATGGAGGATGGCTTTATCATTACAATTTGCATCATTACATAACTGCCAATTTGCATCATTATATAACTGCCAAAGGACGTACTTACATAATCGCCAAACCACTGAGAACCACATTGTTGTTGTGCCATCGAGTCGGCCCCGACTCATTGCAACCCCTCCCTGGGTTTCCGAGGCGGTATCACTATGGAAGTAGATTGCCCAACCTTCCTTCCAAGGAGTGGCTGGTGGGTTTGAACTGCTACCCATCTCGTTATTGATACATAACCTTAACCATCACAGCATGTTATGTATGTAACCATATGCTAAAATGTAAAATATTGAAGTCACATGGGACACTGTAGGATTTACATATATATACACACACACGTATATATATATGTTTGTATATATGTATATATGTGTATACATATATATATGTATATATGAGAAAAAAGAGCAGGAATGGAATTAGCTACAAAAAATACAACTTGATATCTTTTATTTTCATATATAGGGCAACTATGTCAATATTTTTGTTTGGCATAGTCATGTTCACATTGAAATTAGCCTCGAGTCTTGTAATTTGTCATGGGACGTTTAGTATGTACACTGAGATAATTTTGAATTTTCCAGCAGACCGTTTTTGGTCATCTGTCTTCTGGTCATCCTTTTACATCTTTAACTTTGCTGATTGAGCTGACCCTAACCACCCCAAGATGAGAGTGAGTTGCCAAATTATGACTCAGCAAGGCCACAAGACTTCTTTTACACTGTTGCTTTCAAAGGCCTCTTGTGTCATTGCACTGGGCTATTTCTCGTGGCAGTTGCACCTCCACTGCTGTGACTTAGAAGTCCCACACTGACAGAATAGATGAACCAACTCAGCATTTCTTCACAGGAATGAAGCTGATGCTTCTCCTTGCATATTTCAGCTCTTGCTGCAAACTTTTTCATTTCTTTTAATATATTTGATGTTTCTCAATCTATTTATTTGCCCATAAAGCCTTTATAACTCTTGGTTTTTCTCTACATTCTCTGTTTTCTTATTGACATTACTTGTTATATTTCAAGGCTAGAGGCCAAGAAAATTAGTTTCACTTGTTCTTTTGAAGAATAGAATAAAAACATGTCTTTTGGTTGGGAAATCTAATAAGATTGTGTCCTTTTCTTTGTTTGCCTCCTGGAATCTTCCCTCTGGAGGCGAATTTTATATGCCATTTATCTGTCATATGCTGAGCTTCTTACTGATTTTAAGCATAATTAAATGTGTATTAAAAAAGGCAACTAATCTTTGTGAATTGATCACAAAGCACAATGTACCACTGTACTTCAAAAAGAAATTGTTCTAAAATGGTCTTTCTCTCTTTTTTTTTTTTGCTTGTAGTATAAGCTTGGTATCTATAGTCTATTCCAAGGTTAGACTATATATTTTCAAGTTGAAGCAAGTCATTCTACTTCTTGTGAACCTGGTCAGTTTTTTGTCTGATAAGCTGTTGCCATATTACCCACAATCCTCTTCTTCATCACAGAGATACTCTTCCTCAGGGCCACCCAAAAAGGAGAGTTAGTTGCCAATTCTTATTAAGTAACTTAATGTGAGTAGCAAGGAACTTGATTGAACAATGACTTGAAGACTAATTTTTAAGTATTATTGTTTAGAAAATGGCAATTTAAAAGGAAAAGATATACTCGTTTTGCCCTTTGACCTGACTGACACAAGTTCCCATGAAGTGGCTACCAAAGCTGTTCTCCAGGAGTTTGGTAAAGTAAGTAGCATTTGAATTGATATGGTCTTGCTTTGCAGTAGAAGCTTTGGTGGCATAGTGCCTAAGGCACTTGACTGCTAACCAGAAGGCTGGCAGTTCAAACCCATCTGCCACTCCTCGGAAAGAAGGTTGGGTAATCTACTTCCATAGTAATACTGCTTGGAAACCCAAGGAGGGGATTTGACTAGGAGTCGGATTTGACTTGACAACAGTGAGTTTGGTTGTTTTTTGGTTGCTTTGAAGTAGCTGCAAGAGATTCCCTTCCATGATGCTATCATTAAAAGGGTTGTAGGCAAATGGGTTCCATGCTGTGAACATTGGCCCATGAGCTGGGCCTCTTAATCTCTGTGAATTTTTGGCTATAGGTAATGAATACTTTTCATATCCTAAAAAGTACTAACTTCTCCATATAGAACAAAGGAAGCTAAAAGTTCAGTGTTGCATAGATTTTTATGACATTCACTACCTTGCATAAAGTCAACTAAATGGGAATTAATTCCATAGTGAACTTTGTTAGTTCTTCTTTTTTCTTTAGTTTTGTTTAATTTGCTGACTTTTGGAACTAAACCATTGTTCTGTTGATTTTTCAAGTCATACCCAAAGTATCCCTTTTCTAATTTGATTTAACTAGATTGACATTCTCGTCAACAATGGTGGACAAAGCCAGCGTTCTTTGTTTGTGGACACCAGCCTGGATGTCTACAAGGAGCTAATAAATCTTAACTACCTAGGGACGGTGTCCTTGACAAAATGTGTTCTGCCTCACATGATTGAGAAGAAGCAAGGAAAGATCGTTACCATCAACAGCCTCATGGGTATCATATCCATGCCCCTTGCCAGTGGGTATTGCGCCAGCAAACATGCTCTTCGGGTAAGGCTGCTCAAACTCAGCTCCGATAGGACTGATTTAAACATGTAAATTTCTTATGAGGTATATGATCATCACTTAAGATCACATGAAATTAGAATGGGTCAGTGATGTGGGGAAATAGGGAGAGGGCCCTTTGGTAGAGGGTGTCTGCAGTAGATGCTAAAAAAAGACTTGAGCCACACATGCCTCTGACTTATTCAACAAACCTGTTGAGCACCTGCACTGGGACAGGCATTATAATGCATGATAGGGATATAAAGATGAGAAGATATGGTCCTGCCCTCAAGAATTGTACAGTTTAACCCAGAGGGACTGAGTAGTTGAACCTGTGGGCTTGGGACCACAGTTGCAGGGGACATCAAGCTCAACTGGCATAACATACTATACAAAACATTGTTCCACCTCCTACTTTGGCGGGTAACAACTAGGATCTTAAAAGCTAGCAAGCTGCCACCTAGATGCAATGATGGGTCTCTCCTCGTCCAGAGCAAAGAATGAAGAAAACCAAAATTCACGGAAACAATTAGTCCTAGACACTGGTATAACATCCAATCTGCAGCCTATACGACTACGAGACCAGAAGAACTAGATGGT